TACTACAAGACTGTTTCAGGCTGGATATAAGGAAGAACTTCTTTACTGTCCGAGCCCCCAAGGTCTGGAATAGCCTGCCACCGGAGGTGGTTCAAGCGCCTTCATTGAACACCTTCAAGATGAAACTGGATGCTTATCTTGCTGGGATCCTATGACCCCAGCTGACTTCCTGCCCTTTGGGCAGGGGGCTAGACTCGATGATCTTCCGAGGTCCCTTCCAGCCCTAATGTCTATGAAATCTATGAAACCTTAAATTCACGAAGTCCTAATGTCTTAACAGCCTCTAACAGGTAGCCAGCCTGTGAGGGAAAAAGACTCTTACTTAGATGTCAAAGAGTATGGGTTTAAAAAGTACTGATTTTGTTTGGTGGCAAACAAACCAAAGTTCAAGGCTGAAGAGCAAAATGGTGAGGTGGCTTAGAATTTCCTACTCAGTTATCTGACCCAGTTCCCAAAGCTTGCTAAATAAGACTGTCAAATCTAGAAACGTGCCTGACAGCAATATAGATTATGAAGTGGAAATAAATCATACCTTGCTTGTTCGAAATTCCTATTTTAATGACATGTTTAAACTAGACCTTGCCCTAAACATAATCTAATGGGCATAAAAACCACTAAATGAATTTTAAGTGACCTTGATCTGATGTCTTCTGATCAGTCTTTCTTCCCCTCACTGAATTTTCCTTGCCAATGCAAATACCAGTGTCTCTCTCCTCTGCTTCTCTTAACCAAACTCGGGTCAACCAGATGTTACAGCACGCTACCATTAAAGACTGTGCTATCATGCACCATGAGTGAAGTCTATAAACTACACAAACCAAATTAAAATTATGGCAACACATCCAAAACATGATCAGGACATCCTAAGTTCCAGAAGGGAATTCAGCAAGTGTCTGGCATGACAAAGAACACACACAAGCCACAGCTTTTGACAAAACAAGGAAATTCATTAAACTTGGGACGCTAAACCTGAGGCAAATGATTCAGGCAAGAGACGCAACAGCAAAAGCAGACTTCCACCACGAGTAGACAAAGCTTGGCAGAATCACAGCAGCAAAGCTGCTAAATGCTGTTTGTGAGATCTCTCTCAAATGTGTCACATCAGGAAGCCGATATAAAAATACACCCAGCACAGCAGCTGCCTGCAAGAGTGTCCACTGCACAGAGAGACGGAAAGAGGGGAAGTCGAAAAGGAAAGTACTGTTGCTACAACCAGATCTCAAGCTGGATAATTCCCCCCCAAAGTAAATCTGCCTAGACCCAAGCAACTTGCAGAAAGGACTAACAGAAGCTCGCCAAATATTTGATACTGAACTCTTACTTCTCTTGGCAGAACCAAGCATTTTTTGTGCATTTTGTGTTAATGCCTCAGATTGGCAAAAGAAGCAGGATAAAGAAACAGCTTTCTCTCCCCATTTTGGACACCAGGAAAGAGACACAAATGGCAAAGAATGCCACTTGGGATCAAACCTGCAGTAGAGTACCAATGGTTCCAGTAAGACAAGTAGCCAGGACGCTGTGGGAATCAGTGTCGCAGCTGATGATATTCTGGTGCCGAGTCATGCAGACAGTGTGAGAGAAGCCATCTGTCTGCAGGGAAAACCAGGGAAGTGAACCTAAAATTTAGAAGGCAAGATGAAATTGCAGTACCATGTGTGGGATGCTGGCTAACCTCCCAAGGCCGCAAGATGATCCCAAGGAGGTAATCGCAAAACTGCAGGTGTTGACACAAAGGCTACTAGACTAGTTCAGAGAATATCACAATTTATAAATTGGCAAAAATGTCTTCCAATCCTCTTGAATGTGTGACAACTGCTGAGGTTATTTCCAGGCAAAGATGCACTAAGAATGTAGTTACTTCAACATGATGCAACCCTTACATACATAAGGAAGTCAGAACTCTTGCAGTGTGAATACAGAGAAAACTATATAAACATCAACCCAGCAAGAAGTGAGATGTAACATGGCTCTTACAAAAGGGGAAATCAGCTGTCATTGAAGGGTTACCAGAACCAGAGGGGAAAAAAACAAACAAAAAAACCCAAATGACAAAGCAAAAACACATTACATCTGCAAGTGAATAACTTGACCAGCCTACTGAAGAGCAGGATGCCGTTCAAATCAAAGTAACGATATACCACCACAATGTTTAAAAATGGCATTTTGTGGCTTTCAGCACCAACTTCACTATCTGTAGCTAAAACAATGCTACTGCTCAGATGAGCACAAGAAAGTGACTCAAATGTGCAAAATCTCTGCCTTAGAATCTCTGCCTCAGGGCACAAAGAAAATCTGGCCAGAACAAAAATGCAAGATTTTTATCCTGAGAGAAATAATGAGACACAAATGGGAAGCAGCCACCATTATGTGTTGGGTCTGGAATACACCTGGGAACACACAATCCACCAAATGTGACAAGTGCTCTCCGGCAACATCCTGCCAGCATAGCCAGACAGCAAAGGAGAAGCACTGCCTCTTAAATATTACTGATACAAGCCAAGCATCCATGATAGTTTCGAAGGCAGTTGCATGTTAATCCCTTGATCACTGAGAACAGAAATTCTCCCTAGAATACCACGAGAGCACTTCCAGAACATCTCTGGAATGCCAGAAACCCTGTACACTGACCAGTCGTGCTATCACCTTGGTGAGTAGTTGTCATATGCATATGGAAATTCTGGCTAAGCAGCAAAAACATGGTAAAGGGACAGTGTCCTCAACATATTTTTTAAAACAAACAGGAAATGGTTTTTTTTTAACCACAAACTATCATTATTATAGTTTCCTGGTCAGATTCTCAGAACTAAAGAGACTATCAATTATTACTACAGCATCTTTACAGATGTGAAAATGAAGTACTTGAGCAGGCCTGGCACCTGAATCTTGTGATATTTCTGACAGCAGTCTCAGAAAAGAGGCACAGAAAAGAGGCACAGCTGACCTGGTAGTTTAAATTGCTGTACCCCCATTAAAAGAAAGCTGCAACAAGCAAATAAAACTCATGGCAAACTCCCCTGGAAAGGAGATAAACACAAGTCATTAACAGCAACCTGGCAGTGCTATGACTGGCAGAAGGGAGAGGGTTAGGCGAGATGCACAAAGGCTGAAGCTATTATAACAAACAAACAGACCTCCTGGGATGATAGTCAGGAGATCGTATCAGACTCAAACTATTTCCTGTAGAGCAATCGGGCTGTTCGGAGACAGATTTGTGTTTTCAACTGATGAATCTTCATTTAGAAGTAAGCCAGGGCCTGGGCATGCATTTCACTGAAACCATACATGCCAAAAATGCAGCTGTAGGAGATAGTGACAGACAGACTCCCCTGCAACTTCATTGGCGGGGCTCAGAAAAAGCAGACTAAGGAGCAACCAAGAGCTAAGGGAAAAGACCAGGAGAGCCAAATGCATGGCCGTCCCTGCTCTCATCACAAGACAGACTTGTACTTGTGCCAGCAACAAATGCTGGCAAGGTGCACACAAAGACTGTAATAAGGCAGGAACTGCACTCTCCCAGACCCGGAGGACACTCAGCAGGTAGTTTAAATGTTAATTATCTATGACAGAAAGGGTCATTATTAAGGAACACATGAGGCTATACAGAGTCTTGGGGTACCACAGAAGGTTCAGTGTACTATAGGATTTGGATTTAATGCTGCTAGGAACAAATGCCTCCAAAGGGCTATAACAATAAGTAAATTTGTATTACTTATTAATAAAGTAATATTATTCATTTGCTTCTTAGCAATATTGTTAACACTAAGCACTAAGGCAAAGGCAGAACTAAGCAGAGACTGCTCAGAGCTCTGTCCTCTTCCTCAGATCTTTGCTAAAGAAGGCAAGCAACTCCATGCCCATGCAGCGGTTCCAAAAGCTGTGCGCCAGCAGAAAGCCTGACCTATCTGGCATCAGACCCGGAGCCAGCCAGTGATACAAAATCCTCAGTCCTCTGGATATTAACCTGCACATCCTAATCACAAGCACCAGAGATACCTGACACTCGGCCCCGCTCGAGGTTGCACCCAACCTGAGAGCCTGGGCTGCAGCACAGAGAGAACCAGCTCTGAGGCATGGCTCGGCTGGGGCACATCAGGCAAGGATTCTGGGCAATTGGTGCAATGACACTGACTTCCTTGAAGATCCTGGTCCCCAAAAGCAGGGTAACCCCAGAGTTGACATGGATCCCCATAGATAGGAGCTCCCAGGGCAGCTCTGACAAGGTGCAGAACTAGTGTCGTGGGAGAAAACTCCCTGGGGTTCATTGTCTAGCTGCATAGGAACCAGACAACACGGATGAAGTTTTACTGCAGTATATTTGCTCGAGCAATGGCCATTAAGCCAGCAAAGAGGCAAAATGGCCCCCCCTAAAAGGTGGGGCATTCTTTTATACTTTTTACAACAAGGCAAGACTACAGGGTTAACAAAAGCAATACTTGGGCGGTGCTTCACAGATCTTCATAACAGCATATTTCTATTAAGCTGAACTAGCACTTTCTAAAAGCTAAAAGTTAAGTAACAGTAACATTATGATACATTAGCAAGAACTTGCAGTGGTAGATACTTCTTAAGGACACGATCACTGTACTTAGAACAATGGCTTCTTTGTCTTATCTTGTTCCTTGCTGTAGCTGATTTTACAGCACACAGACACAGATTCACTTGCTGCATTTTACTTAGAAAATGGTTAACACAGTTAAAATGATTACTTAATATAAGCAAAGGCTTAGCTATCATTCTGCCTTGTGGTCAGCAACATTGCTAGGCCACAGGTCATACCTTGTATTCAGCTGTAAAGCTAATACTTCTTAATAATCTAAATTATTGTTAACCTAACAGTATGCTATCAGAAAACTATTTTATTTCAGGGTAATAACAAACATGCTCACCACACTAGGACCACTCTCTGTACTTCACAGGGTGGAAGGATGGTCAAAGCCAGGTCTCTGTCCTTCCCCCTCCCTGGTCCTTGCTGCACTAAGGCCCCTGCCCCACAAGCTCACCTGAGTGTCCCACACTGACTTGTGCCTTAAGCCTGCTACTCATCCCCTGCCTCATCTGGGGAGCCTTTACACTGGAGGTCTGTTTCCCAGGGGCAGAAAAGCAGTCATCCACCTCCTCGCTGCTGGGAAGAGAGAATGAGAAAGGGAGGAAAGAAAGAAAAAGTGGGAGGAGAAAAAGGGAGTGAGAAAACAGGATGGAAGGGATCAAGTCTCAGCTGCGTGGATGTGAACTGTGCAGGACTTTGCCCCTGGGAAGGCAGGGCTGGCTCCCTGGCCCTCTCTTGAAGGCAGAGCACCAAATTCCCAGGGCACTTTCAGAAGCAAGCCAAGGAGACTTTGTACTGGGCTTCCTGCCCAAGCAACTCTGCCCAGTCCGGTTTTACATGCAGTGCCCAGTATACTGTAACCGGGGCAGCTCTATGGACAACTGCCATCCAGCTGGGCGTTGGCAGCTGTCACAGGGGTGACAGCAGGCAGAGGAAGGGACAGCTTTGCTCTGAGGTGCTTGTTTACATCCTGGTTGACTACAGGACCCGGGAGCAGCTGGGCTCCTCCAGAGCTGCCCCTCTCATTGAGACTCCCCTTTGCTCCAAGGACTCTGCTAGCAGCACTGGGCTGAGCAGGGGCAAAGCAGAGCGGACAGGGGACATTAGGGGGGGCAGGCAGGAGCATCCAGAGCCCTCCTGCTTCCTGGGGCTGTACCCTGCCCTGTCAGATGGACCTGCAGGGACTCGGGGGCTACTCAGATTTGCACATGGGGGTGAGGGGACGAGCCTGGGGTTCACAACCTGCGCGCCCTCGGGACAGGAGGTCCCCGCTGCCGTGGGGGGCCGTTACCTGGCGGGGCTCGGAGCGGGAGCCAGAGCGAGCGTCCGAGGG